TTTTTTTTGAGGAATAATACAGGTTTGCGTATTTCAGGTTTTCAAGGGATGTCAACGAATTTTTAACGATTGGACCGTTCCGTAAAATCGTAGGCTTTTCTGTATTCCTCATGCAAATCCCCGCTCAACGATCCGGATTGCACGACATTTCCGTGCTCAGTGATGATGCTGCTGAATCAATAGAGGCTGCTGCGTGCACAGCATCAAGCCTTACTCGAACGGGTGGAAATGATCGAGGCGGAAACGCTATCGCGTGATCGCCATTCCTTAGTCGTCTCATAGGTCCAGCTATAGGCGACTAATCTTTTCATCCAACTGCGACAATATTTAGGCACTGAATTAACAAACAGTACATGAATTCATTGATTCCGCTGATTCTGTACATCATGATTCCTGCTCGTTTATACATATTTGCGGATTCGTTCAGGACGCAGTTTCGTTTTCATTAATGATATCGTTTGTCTTCGACGACGAAAGTTTAATTTGTTACACTGACTCACAGATTTAAATTATCTCTGGTCGCGGTATCAATCAAACAAATTGTTCGGATCGTTTTTCAATTATACTCCTTCTGCATTATCGTAATTGAGTGCACTTCGTCGCATTTCGTTGATATTCGTTTCATTTTGTTGTGTACCAAATTCAATAATCATTATAATGATTGGCTTTTTAAATGTAACTCACATTCATTATCGAAATACTCTTCGATGTGAATGTTGATTGACATTGGGTTCAATAGATTGATATCAATACGCTCATTTCGCTGTTTCATGTTTAAAAAAATCGACATCACGAAAAACTTGACATGTGAGGTTTTTTTGATTCGTGTAATTTACTTCATTGTATACANCAACGGCCATTCGAAACTTTCAAAGTGATCAATCAATTTCCCCGAGGAATGTTTGCTAACGAATCGATTGAAAACAATCATGATGTGAATGCGTTGCGGATGGTTGAATAATGACGTGATTTCGATTCACACACAAATCACATGAATTTGGTGTTTGACTGTTTGTTGATCGAATATGTATTTAGAATTAATTAAACACGAATCCGGTCTTGTTTACTTGAGTTGCTAGCCATATCGTATGCATGAATAGAGAATTAAGCCGCCTATCGTTGAGTGCGAAATTGATGGATGTCGTTGTGATCGTTTGTTTTTGATTGATTCACCTTTTGGTGTGTAGTGAAATTGGTATTTACATGGATGATATGAATATTTTGTGAAAATCTGAATTTTGTTGCGCTTTTAATGTTCTGTTGTTTTTGAAACGAACGTTCATTGCGTTTTTCCGTGCGTTGACGATCGTGAACGTTTTGCACACAATGTTGAATGCAAACCGAAATCGCAAGAGTGTTGGACGACCAGAGTCAATTGAGTAATTTGTTGGTTTGGATTGCAGAATGAGCAATTCGGCGGCCGCAAGGCCCGCATCCGGG